CACCCCATAGGACCCCTGACCCCATAGGGATCCTCACCCCATAGGACCCCTGACCCCATAGGGATCCTCATCCCATAGGGATCCTCATCCCATAAGACCCCTGACCCCATAGGAATCCTCACCCCATAGGACCCCCGACCACCACAGGACGGAATCCTCACCCCATAGGACCCCCGACCACCACAGGACCCCCACCCCATAGGACCCCCGACCCCATAGGGATCCTCACCCCATAAGACCCCGACCAAAAAGGGATCCTCAACCCATAGGGATCCTTACCCCATAAGACCCCGGACCCCATAGGAATCCTCACCCCATAGGGATCCTCACCCCATAGGACCCCCGACCCCATAGGACCCGTGACCCCATAAGGCCCCGCCCCCCCGGCCCCCGTCCCCACTCACCGCCGCGCAGCGGCTGCCAGCGGCGCTGCCGGCCTCCCAGCAGCAGGGGGCGCTCACTGCGATCCTCCCCGAAGGCGCCGCGCCCGCCGAAGACGAGCAGCGTCCCGTCCGACGGCACGGCGGCGTGCAGCGCCAGCGGGGGCGCCTGCGGGACACGGCGGGTGGGCGGGGCGGCGCGGGGACCGCGGGGACCATAGGGAACATAGGGACCATAGGGACCATAGGGACCATAGGGACACATGGGGACACATAGGGGCCCATAGGGACCATAGGGACCATAGGGACCATAGGGACCATAGGGACACATGGGGACCATAGGGAACATAGGGACCATAGGGACCATAGGGACACATGGGGACCATAGGGAACATAGGGACCATAGGGATCATAGGGGCACATAGGGAACATAGGGACCATAGGGACCATAGGGGCACATAGGGACCATAGGGACCATAGGGACCATAGGGGCACATGGGGACCATAGGGACCATAGGGACCATAGGGGCACATGGGGACCATAGGGCACATGGGGACCATAGGGGCACATGGGGACCATAGGGATCATAGGGACCATAGGGACCATAGGGAACATAGGGACCATAGGGCCCATAGGGACACATGGGGACCATAGGGACCATAGGGGCACATAGGGGCACACAGGGACCATAGGGGCACATGGGGACCATAGGGAACATAGGGACCATAGGGACACATGGGGACCATAGCGACCATAGGGACCATAGGGACCATAGGGACACGTAGGGGCACAGAGGGACCATAGGGACCATAGGGACACATGGGGACCATAGGGGCACATGGGGACCATAGGGACCATAGGGACCATAGGGACACATGGGGACCATAGGGGCACAGAGGGACCATAAGGACCATAGGGACCATAGGGACACACAGGGACACAGAGGGAATAGGGACACACAGGGACCATAGGGACACATAGGGACCATAGGGGCACATTGGGACCATAGGGACACACAGGGACACATAGGGACCATAGGGACCATAGGGACCCAGAGAGACCCATAGGGACCCATAGGGACCATACGGACACTTAGGGACACATAGGGACCATAGGGACCCATAGGGGCACATAGGGACACATAGGACCCGTAGGGACCCATAGATACCCACAGAGACCCATAGAGAGACCCCATAGAAACCCATAGAGACCCCATAGAGACCCATAGAGACCCCATAGGCAGACCCCATAGGGACCCACTGGGACCCATAGGGACCCACAGGGACCCATAGGGACACACAGGGACCAATAGGGACACATAGGGACCCATAGAGACCCATGGAGACCCCATAGAGACCCCATAGGGACCCATAGGGACCCTATAGGGACCCATAGAGACCCCATAGAGACCCCAAGGACCCCATAGAGGCCCACAGACACACATAGGGACCCATAGGGACCATAGGGACCCATAGAGACCTCATAGAGACCCATAGGGACCCATAGGGACACGTAGAGACACATAGGGACATGTAGGGACCCATAGGGACCATAGGGGCACATAGGGACCACAGGGACCATAGAGACCCATAGAGACCCCATCAAGACCCATAGGGACCCACAGAGACCCATAGAGACCCATAGAGAGACCCATAGGGACCCCATAGGGACCCATAGAGACCCATAGGGACGCATAGGGACGCATAGGGAGACCCATAAAAACCCCATAGAGACACATAGGGACCCATAGGAACCCCATAGAGACCCATGGAGACCCCATAGAAACCCATAGAGACCCATAGAGACCCATAGGAGCCGATAGAGACACATAAAGACCCAGAGAGACCCATAGGGACTCCATAGAGACCCATAGAGACCCCATCGAGAGACCCCATAGAGACACCCCATAGAGACTCTTAGAGACCCCATAGAGACCCATAGAGAGACCCCATAGGAACCCGTAGAGACCCATAGAGAGACCCCATAGAGACACCCATACAGACCCCATAGAAACCCCATAGCTGCCCCCCCCCCCGACCCCATACCCGGCATCCCGGCTCCTGCAGTACCGCCTCCCACCGCAGGGGGGCGCAGTGCAGGCGGTGCAGCTCCCCGGAAGCGCCCAGCAGGGGCCGCCATCCGCCATAGACGAACACGGACCGCGAGGGGGCGTCGTAAACAGCCACGTGACCCAGGAGCGCTGCGGGGGGCGGGGCCAAGTCAGGGGGCGGGGCTATCAGAATGGGGCGGGGCTTCGTGTGTGGGGGCGGGGCCATAGAAGTGGGCGGGGTTTGTAAAGCAGCAATATCATGGGGCGTGGCTTTCGGCAAGGAGGCGTGGTCACGCAGGGGGCGTGGTCTAGTGAAAAAGGAGGGGTCTGGAGAAGGGGCGGGGCTTCAGTGGTGGGCGGATTAATGCAAATGAGGACTTCGAATGGAACGGGACTGTCGGAATGGGCGGAGCTTCATAAAGGGGCGTGGCTTGGTTGGGGGCGTGGCTTCGACAAGGGGCGGTGCTCCGATGGGCGGGGCCATGCAAATGAATGGCTTCCAAATGGGGCGGGGCCAGAACAAATGGCTGTGGCTTCAATAAGGGGGCGGGGCATCGTTGGGCGGGGCTATGCAAATGAAGGGCTTTAAATGGGGATGGGGCGTGGAAATGGGCGGGGCTTCCTAAGGAGGGGGCGTGGCCTGGAGTTGGGGTGGGGCTATTGTTGGGGGCGTGGTTTTCTGTAATGGTGGGGCTATAGGGGGCGGGGCTAGTTGGGGTGGGCGGAGCGACACCTGGGCGGGGCCTCATCAGGAGGCGGGGCCACGTGAAAGGGGCGTGACTACAGTGGTCCCCATAGAGAGACCCATAGAGACCCATAGAGGGACCCCACAGAGATCCCATAGAGACCCATAGAGACCCATAGGGACCCCATAGGGACCCCATAGGGACCCAATAGAGAAACCCCATAGAGACCCATAGAGAGATCCCACAGAGATCCCTCAGAAAGACCCATAGAGACCCCATAGACGCCATAGAGACCCATAGAGACCCCATAGAGATCCCATAGACACCCCATAGAGACCCATAGAGAACCCATAGACCCCATAGAGACCCATAGAGACCCCATAGAGAGACCCCATAGAGAGACCCCATAGGGACCCATAGAGACCCCATAGAGACCCAGAGAGACCCCATAGAGCCCCATAGAGACCCCATAGGGACCCATAGAGACCCCATAGAGACCCAGAGAGACCCCATAGAGACCCCATAGGGACCCCATAGGGACCCCACAGGGACCCATAGAGACACCCCATAAAAACCCCATAGAGACCCATAGAGACCCAGAGAGACCCAGAGAGACCCAGAGAGATACCCCATAGAGACCCCACAGAGACCCATAGGGAGCCCATAGGGACCCCATAGGGACCCCACAGAGACCCATAGGGACCCCATAGAGAGACCCCATAGAGACCCAGAGAGAGACCCCATAGAGACCCATGGACAGACCCATAGAGAGACCCATAGAGACCCCATAAAAACCCCATAGAGACCCAGAGAGAGACCCCATAGAGACCCCATAGGACCCCATAGGGACCCATAGAGACCCATAGAGACCCATAGAGACCCCATAGGGACCCCACAGAGACCCACAGCACCC